ATAGACATCATTCATTAAGACCTTCACTCTGTTATTATTCATTGGGCTCTAACTCACTGTATTATTTATGTATGTAGGTGATCAATCGCGTGACCAGGCCTAAGCTGTTGCCTGGGAGTCAGTTTTGTCCAGCCAACCACAGTACCTCCCGCGGAGGTTCTGAAACTTGCTTATGGTCAATGTTTTGTGGTCCAGAATTTTATTTAAGTTTTCTTTTGTTTCATTTGTACGTTGGTCTAAGTCCCATTTTGGTTATCTGTAGTGAAGTGACGCAAGACTGTTGCTCATATGACGTCACCTTTATGTATATAAAGTTTAATATTTTTGTCTCATATATGTCTGCACAGCTCTATGGACTATGTATGTTTTATATATTTGCTTCCACAACCACTTATTATGTGTTAATTTGTTCAGAGGCCTTTGGTAATCCAAGGATTGCTGGCCAGCTACGACGTTAAACTTATAGGGGCGGGTTTAGGTCGTGACAGAGTGGTATCAGAGCACGAGTTATATCGCACCTACGAGTCCATATGAGCTATAGGATGTCCTAGAAAAGTAGGGGCATTTCATTTGCATGTGTGAGTGTGTGCTAACTTCTGTAAATACGAGAACTAAATCTGAATATGAATATATCAAATTGAAAGAAATGAACTAAAATAGAACACTGTGAATAGAGTTATTTGTCTGTGTTTATTAGTGCTCTGTTTACCTATAGCAAATGGAAAATATGAGAAGTGATGGTACAACTAAATCCTCTGAGGCTCGCATGAGTCTTATTGAACAAATTCTTGCAACCATAACAGAATCATTGAAGCAACAACCTTTGCCCCCTCGGCCCCCGCCAGTGCAAATTTAGCCGGATAATAACGACATCATCAACCTAACTCAGAAGTTCATGAAGATGAAACCGCCAACTTTCTTGGATGGTATTGAACCATTAAAGGCAGAAACATTGTTACTTGAAATAGAGAAATTATTTGAAGTATTTCCCTGCTCCAAGACTCAGAAGGGTTTGTTGGCCACCTATACCTTAAAAGATGAAGCTCGAAGATGGTGATTGCTAATCCGAAATAACAATGGGAACATGACATGGGTTCAATTCAACGAGATCTTTTACGAAAAGTACTTCCCTCAGTGCTTTCAGGACCGAAAAGTTTTTGAATTCCAAGAACTCAAGCAAGGTAAAATGTCTGTAGCTGAGTATGAGGCCAAATTCACTGAATTAGCCCGATTTGCTCCTCACATGGTGGATACAGACTGTAAGAAAGCTTAAAAATTTGAAGGAGGGTTAGACCTAGACGTGCTTGATTGGGTAGGTGTCTTAAAGTTGCCCACATATATGGATGTACTTGATTGAGCTCTCGTGGCTAAAGCCAACTTAGCCACAAAGAGACAGACTAAAGCCCCAACAACTGAATGGAGAGGTAAGAGATCTGGGTTCAATTTCAAAAGGGTCGGTCATTTCTAAAGAAGCAAAATACGAGATCCTACAGCACCTCAAGCCAAAGTAGTGGATCTACTCCGACTTGCTCAAAATGTGGTAGGAAACACAAGGGTGTTTGTTATTGAGCAATGGGTGCCTATTTCAGGTGTGGTAAAACTGGCCACATGATGAGAGATTGTCTTGTCGAGTTCGAAAATGCCAACTGTCCAGCAGCAAGTTCAGTTGGATCCGCTTTTGTATCAAGAATGAATACAAGAGAGCTAACACTGGGAACGAAACCTTAAGGCACGGTCGAGTATTTGCACTTGTGCCTAGTGATATACAGAACACCAAATCCGTGGTGTCAAGTATACTTCCTATTTGTGCTCAAAACACATATGTGTTGATAGACTCTGGTTCTACACATTCATTCGTGTCGCATGTTTTTTCTCGAAAATTGACTAGACCACTAGAATCCATGAACTATTTGTTATCTGTATCTACACCTACTAGGGATTCCATGATGTGTGCTTATGTGTATCCTGCATGTGAAATCATGATTGGAGATTTGTTATTACATGTTGATTTGCTGCCATTGGACATTGCTCATTTTGATTGTATTTTGGGTGACCAAATATTGTGCTACTATTAATTATGTGAATAAATCCGTTGTATTTTGACCACCTGGTTTGTCTGAGTTTATGTTTAGTGGGAATGGTATAGTTCCTTCCCCATATTTGATTTCTTCTATGAAGGCTACTAAAATGTTGAGAAAGGGGTGTCGGGGTTATTTGTGTTGTGTATCGGTCGAGCCCAGAGATAGCACTGACGTTGAGAACATTCCTGTAGTTAATGAATTTTCTGATGTGTTCCCTAATGATTTGGCCGAAGATCTGATAGATAGAGAAATTCAATTCACCATTGATGTAATACTGGGAACACAACCTATTTCCAAAACCCTATACAGGATGTCATTCTTTGAATTAAAAGAACTAAAAGTCCAGCTTCAAGAATTATTAGACAAGAGGTTTATTTGACTGAATACTTCACTTTGGAGTGCTTCCATCCTATTTGTCAAGAAGAAAGATGGGTCTTTGAGGCTATATATTGACTACCGTGAATTGAATAAAGTAACTGTTAAGAACAAATACTCATTGCCTCGAATAAATGATTTGTTTGACCAACTCCAAAGAGCCCAAGTCTTTTTGAAAATTGACCTTAGATCCGAATACCACCAAGTGAAAGTTAAAGCAGAAGACATAGAGAAAACCGCCTTTCGAACTAGATATGGGTACTATGAGTTTTTGGTAATACCGTTTGGGGTAACTAGTGCACCTGCATCATTCATGGGCTTAATGAATAGAGTGTTCAAACAATTTCTTGATGAGTTTGTTATTGTATTTATTGATGACATTTTGACTTATTCTAAAAGTAGAGAAGAACATGGAAATCATCTGAGAATTGTGTTACTGACTTTGAGAGAAAAGAAACTTTATGCAAAATTCTCCAAATGTGAATTCTGGCTCGATTGTGTGACTTTTATGGGGCATGTGATCAATAAATATGGCATATCAGTTTACCCACAAAAGATTGAAGCTATTATAGACTGGCCAGGACCAACAAATGTATCTGAAGTTAAAAGTTTTCTAGGGCTTACTGGCTATTATAGAAGATTTGTAAGAGACTTCTCCAAACTTGTCATGCCATTGACACAGTTGACACAAAAAAAGGTACCATTTGATTGGATTGATCAACGAGAGTCAACCTTCAAAGAACTAAAGACTAGATTGGTAACTGTGCCTATTTTGACATTGTCCAATGGAACTGATAGAACAAAGGCCTGGCATGTGTGTTAATGCAAAATGGTAAAGTGATTTCTTATACTTCTCGTCAACTCCGACTGCATGAAAAGAATTATCCGATCTATGACTTGAACTTGCAGCCGTGGTTTCTGCTTTGAAAATCTAACGCCATTATTTGTATGGAGTAACTTGTGATGTGTATACTGATCACAAAAGCCTCAAATATTTCTTTACTCAGAAAGAACTGAACATGAGTAAGAGAAGATGACTCGAATTAATCAAAGATTATGACTTGCAAATTCTGTATCATTCAGGGAAAGCCAATACCGTTGCAGATGCTTTGAGCTAAAAATCTATTAGGAATTTGTCATGTTTGCTCACCAGTCAGAAAGAACTGTTATGTGACTTGGAAAAAAATGGAATTGAAATTGTGTTGCGTGAACATGGTGGAGTCTTAGCCGCCATTTCTGCACAAGCTGCTATACTTGAAGAAATTAAAGAAAAGCAATTGCATGATGAATTTTTGAAGAAGATTGTGAATGATATTAACTCGAAACAGAGGCCAGGCTTTATGATTGCAAATGTTGTGTTGAAATTTCAGGGCAGACTTTGTGTACTGGATTGTTCTAAACTAAGAAAGCGTATTATGACTAAAGCTCGCAACTCCAAATTTTCTATGCATCAGGGGAATACAAAGATGTGCCATGACTTAAAACAGAATTTCTGGTGGCCTGGAATGAAAAAAAGTATTGCCGATTTTGTAGCCAAATGTATGTATTGCCAACAAGTTAAAGCTGAATATCAATGACCCGCTCGACTAATTCAGCTACTTCTAGTATTGGAATGGAAATGGGAGCATATTACGATGGACTTCATTGTTGGACTGCCTTGCTCCTATCAAGGTATGGACTCTATTTGGGTAATTGTTGATCGTTTGACTAAGTCCGCACATTTTTTACCGATCAAAACTTTTTATAATGCGGATAAATTGGCTAACATGTATGTGGATGAGATTGTGAAATTACACGGTGTGCTAGTAGCTATTGTATTTGACAGAGATCCTAAGTTCACTTCAAGATTCTAGTAGAGTTTATAGCACTACAAGGAAATGCACTTTTGGCGACTAATGTTTTAGTCGCCAAAAGTAAGGTTTTTAGCCGCCGAAGCCTTTTCCCGACTAAATATTTTTGTCGTTAGATTTGTCGCGGGAAAATGGTCGGGGAAGGTTTTGGCGACTAAAAAAAATTTAGTCGCCAAAAGTCCTATAAATGGCTACGAATGTTTTTTAGTAGGGAAAAGTACGAGGTATTGGCGACTAAATATTTTTTAGTAGCCAAAAGTCATAAATTGGCGACTGAATATTTAGTCGCCAAAAGTTTTCAAATAAAATTAATTTTCATTTTCAGCGACTAAAACTTTTAGTCGCCCAAAGTATCATTTATTATTAGCTACTAAATATTTAGTCGCAAAAAAAAAATAATTTTTATATATTTTTTTAGCTACTAAACTATTTAGTCACCTAAAGTCTCATATATTTTTTACTACTAAATTTTTAGTCACTAAAAAATCTTTGGTATGTTTTTGGCTACTAAATTTTTAGTAGCCAACAAGTTTTATTTTGTTTTTTTGGCTACTAAACATTTAGTCATCAAAAACTTTATTTAGTGTTATTTTTTTTTATTATTATTAATTTCTGCACAACCTGTATTTATTTTGTACAACCTGCACCTTGTATATAAACAAAACAATACATATGTCTATTTCTATTTCACTTTCAACCATCCAAAAATTTGGTCTTGTAACATCAAATTCTATACAGACCAAATATAATCCAACCCAAAATAATAATTCCATACAAACATATAATCATACAAAAATGATGTCCTCCGTATACAAAAAAGAAATATCCACTAGTAATTTATACCACCAGAAAATAACTTCATCTCTGTTGGATCAACAACTATTGCAGTAATTGGTAGTGGAAAAGCTCGAGTTTGTAAAAGTCTTCCAATAACAACATCCTATACCTACAATACGAAAACGAAAATAAGTCATTTTGAGAAACAAAAATACTCATGCTAGGAAGATATTATTATAAAATATTTAACATAATTAAGTAACCTTGCATGTGCCATTGAGGAAGCTTGATAAAAAAAATTGAACTTGAGCTTGATAAAACATTTAACAAAAATACTCATGCTAGGAAGATATTATAAAGAGCTTTTTCTTTGTCAATACTTGGACTAGACTTTTTCATTAATATAATCATGACATTTACCTAACCAGTACTAGATGCATATGATTAATAAGATAGGAAAAAGTAAGAAATGTCTCACTCCAAAAGGATTTAGGGATATTCAGGGTAAACAAGAGAAATCTAGCTAACTCAAGATGATAATGATTCTTACGTTCAGTGACTCTATTTTGTTCAGAAACTAGTTCAACATTACGTCAATTACACCAGTGGCATCGGTATTTGGGCTGCCCTTCCCTTGGTGTTTTAGAGAAGCTATTTCCTAACTCAGTTAAACATTGCCATAGGAACAGTTTTGTCTGGGATGCATGTGAATTTGAAAAACATAAACACTTTGTTTATCCACATATACAATGTACAAATTTATATAGAAATAAATATAATATAAGTTCCTATCACCAGATACTAAGTCAACCACAAGCAAGCTAATAAACTAGAAGATATCTAGCACCTGTCCCAAAAACATAGATTCTTCCATCTGATAAGCCAGCTTTAGACACAAGTTGATTGAAAAGCCTGATAACAATGAAATTGGCAATGGGCTAACTTCCCGCATCACCATTAGCCTCTCAGTTGACTGTAAGTTTGATCCAGGTAACAACTCTTGAACTCCAGCAGAGGTCAACCAATTCATTACTGTTTCACAAGCAGGTTATGCCATGGTGTAAGACACAACCCAGAACATACCAATTGATCTGTCATCTAGGTTTATGTAATCCATCATGCGATCCCCTTAAACAGAAACAAAAATGTTAAAATGAGTTAATGAAAAATCATATAGAGGCATGACACTGAATTAATAAACAATTACCGTAATAATGCTTCAGAGCCAAATGCAAAAGATGATATCCCAAATATGGAATATCAAATCCTGCTCTTTGAAGTAAAAGGCTAAAACAAATAAAGATTAAATGAATTAAAGTTATAGCATATGATAGTTTTATAGTTTAAGAAAATAAAAGTAAAGTAAAATCTGATAGAGGCAAAATCATGCCAAACGAAGTCGGAGCATGGTTGGAGCAAACCCATCTATAACTTGCCCCTACATCCATCACACTAAGTTGGAATAAAACATGCGTTCTTAAGCAATGTTGGTCTATAGGCTATCATCAAATTATGAAAACAAGTGAAGAGTTTTTTTTCCATAGGGATGGCAATTTAACCCTTCAGTTAAGAACCTTCCCCTTCTGCGACAAGCTTCCAAAGGTATTAATTACATTAGAGCCAGGTAACAGGAATAGGATTACAACCCAAACTTGGTTTGGGGTGGGGTTGGGAGTAGGGAGCCCCTGCACCAATCCAAGTATACATAACAAAATCACTTAACAAGCACTCTACCATCATGGAAAAACAAGTACCCCTTACTCATGTGCCTACAAACTAAAGCAAAACATTGGCATCAAAACATATTTAAAATACATCAAAACTAACAAAAACACTATGAAACACACAAGAACCATAAGTTGTTTCAACACTTATCATGAATTCCTAACAAAAGTTGTCTTTGTTTCTTATTTTGTTATTAGAAAAAAAAAATTGTAAACGAAGGAAATATTTCACTATTAATTGAACATATAAGAATGCTAAAATGGAGAAGGGGATAACATTCCGTCATTTGTCACAAGTCCTATTTGGCATGGGGAAGGTGTTCGTGTCGGCCACACGGCGGTTCGGGGACTGTTTTCAATTTTTGCCCCCGAAACGCCCTTTTTCAACTAACTTTTAGGCGTATTCGGCTCTAAATCCCAACATATGGGTCCAAATAACATTCCGTCAGTTGTAACAAGTCATATTTGGCATGGGGAAGCTGTTCGTGTCGGCCACATAGCGGATCAAGGGCTGTTTGAATTTTCACCCTCGAAACGCCGTTTTTCGACTAAGTTTTGGGCGTATTTGTCTCTAAATCCCAATCTACGGATCCGAATAACATTTTGTCATTTGTCACAAGTCCTATTTGGCATGGGAAACGTGTTCATGTTGGCCACACTGCGGTTCAGGGACTGTTTTCAATTTTTGCCTCCGAAACGCCCTTTTTCAACTAAGTTTTGGGCGTATTCGGCTCTAAATCCCAACATATAGGTCCAAATAACATTCCGTCAGTTGTAACAAGTCATATTTGGCATGGGGAAGCTGTTCATGTTGGCCACACAGCGGATCAAGGGCTGTTTTCAATTTTCACCCCTGAAACGCCATTTTTCAACTAAGTTTTGGGCATATTCGTCTCTAAATCCCAACCTATGGGTCCGAATAACATTCTTTCATTTGTCACAAGTCCTATTTGACATGGAGAAGGTGTTCGTGTTGGCCACATGGCGGTTCGGGGGCTGTTTTCAATTTTCGCCCCCGAAACGCCCTTTTTCAACTAAGTTTAAGGCGTATTCGGCTCTAACTCCCAACCTATGGGTCCGAATTACGTTCCGTCAATTCTCACAAGTCCTATTTGTCATGGGGGAACTGTTTGTCTGAGCCACACGGTGGTTCAGGGGCTGTTTTGATTTTTCGCCCCCAAAACGGCCTTTTTCGACCATATTTAGGGCGTATTCGACATTTTGTGAGACAGACAATTACCCGCCAATACATTTTCATATCCTAGTTAAAATACATGCAAATTCAATTCATATGACAAGCTAATTAAGTAAATTCGTGTCAAACTAGGGAGAAAAAAAAGACCCAGAGGCATGCAAGGAAATATAACTATGACTCAAAAAATCTTACATGAACTCCAAGGTATGCACTGCAGAGTTTTAAATCATGTCGAAGACGAGTTACTCCTCCAGTCCCAGTAGCAAGCATTAATTCTTCATTGCTCCATCTATTCTTTAGTGGCCTTGGGACAGAATTTGAAAAGCAATACCACATATACAAAAATTAATTCATAAATAGAGCATATATCAAATATAGACTAGTCAACTTATGTATGGTATAGCAACAGTAGGGAAACAAGAAGGAAATAAAATCAGAACATTCTTTTGTTCATGTCATTCAGCAAGGAAATACATTGCTCAGTTTGTTTGTTTGTTTGTTTGTTTGTTTTTTTTCAATGAAGAACCTGATTTTCATTTTCTTCATCAATTTTGCTGATTCCAATGAAGAATGTGTTGAAATGTTTAAATCGACTAAAAAATTCAATGCAAACTAAAAGAGCGAACCATTTCACTTCCATGTGACATCCTAAGACACATTTCAGAATAAACAAGATCAAGGAAATTTGCAAGGAACTTTGACACCAACCTGGTAGCATAATTATTTCGAGAATGGAATGCTTGATACTCTAATGGTCATATTTGCCCAGATATTCTTCTTCGATCATGTAATTGGAGGTCCAACTGCAACAAATTTAGTTTCAAGTTGAGAACTCCACCATGGAAAGTTAAATAGATAGGTATTTTGGAATAGCATACAAATTTCAAGAGAATGCTCATTAGATAGTACATGACAAAAGGCGAGGAACCAAAACTCACCTCGGACGAAGCCAGAAACTGATACATTGCACTCTGAACATGACATGAACAAAAAATTGACTTGTTTTTTTTATAGGCCTTGTTTTTATATCAAAATTGACTTCAATCCCTGTAAAATAAAACAAAATAAAATAAGGAAATGATATAGAAAATCATTTTCTAAACTCACTTTCTAGAGCACACAAGACTAGCATCATGATGTCCCATTGAAATCAAAACCAATTTGATGCATTTTGATGTCCCATTGAAATCCCCTTCCATGATAAGACCACAAAAGAAATAAAAATAAAATAATAATAATAATAATAATAATAATAAAATCCACTTCAAATATCTTTAGCTCTTTGACCCAAGAATAACAGGTGCTTGGTATCACATTTCCCCACACATTTAATCTCTCAAGTAAATATACGTACTTGGGAAGTATTGTTTTTGCTTTCAAGTTTAGGCATTGTAATATGACATAAGATGCAAAGAATGAACCATACCTCTCCCAAGATCATCAGGATCTGCATGCACAACCACTGCCCTCCCCAATATGGAACGCTGCCCACTAAACTACCGGTCTGAATTACATGCCATCAATTCTCAGAAGTCCTATTTATCATGGGAAAACTGTCCGTGTGAGTCACACGATGGTTCGGGGGCTGTTTTGAATTTTCGCCCCCGAAACGCCCTTTTTCGACCATGCTTAGTACGTATTCGGCTCTAACTCCCTACTTACGGGTCCAAATTACATTCCGTCAGTTCTCACAATTCCTATTTGTCATGGGGAAACTGTCCGTGTGAGTCGCACGGTGGTTCGGGGGCTGTTATGAATTTTTGCCCCCAAAACGCTCTTTTTCAACTAAGTTTAATGCATTTTCAGCTCTAACTCCCAAACTACGTGTGCTAATTACATTCCGTCTATTGTCACAGGTCCTATTTGTGACAGGGAAGGTGGCCGTGACATCCGTACTGTTGTTCGGGGTCTGATTCTCATTTTCGCCCCCTTAACGCCCTTTTTCGGTTAAGTTTAATGCATTGTTGTCCTATTGGAATTCACGCGGAAATCATTTTCTTAACTCAAAATTTTTAACTAACAAAAGGCTTTTCAATGGAAAAATTTTCACTGTGGGGAGTATGTAAACCAATCAAATATAGCAGCCATTTGAGTCAAAATCAAAGCCATAAATGCACACCCACAACCATACAAACAACACCAATATCTTTTCCTCATTAAGAACGTGGATAACATATCTATCCCACAATCCACACCTTAAAGCCTTACCACTAATAGCAGTTCCCACCATCATTTTGTGAGGGCCCAATTCCAATCCACTATCATAGAAAGAAACAAGAAGGCAACATAATTAATATCATATCTTCATACAAAGAAATACAATGACAACATAATTAATGCTTTATCACTCTTGCAACTGCAACTCTATTTCACATTTTTGGCATAGATTTTCCATAGATTTTCCATCTTACAGAATTTAAACTACTAAATGCAGTTTGAAAGTAACAGTACACGAAAGAGTTCTGACTAACTAAACTAACTAGTTAATTATGTGCATCAATTAATATGTGTCATGGATGTTGAGAAGTACATAATTGGAAAATAAAGAAGATAGAAAAAGCCAATTAAGCTCACCTGGGCTTGGCCCTTGGCCTGGCCAGCTTGATAACTCATGTTCTGTGAACTGTCCATTTTTTTCAAACTTCTTGGTTCTTGGTGTAACATATAATATATGCAACTATTGCTCAAAAACTCTGAGTTGTATATATACCAGAGTTACTAGAATTTATAGTTTTTGAAAGCAATCCATTGCTTGACATGTGTACTAACCATGTGGAAGGCAATTGGACAGGTGTTACCTTCTGCTGAAATTTGGGTTTTTGTCATTGGATGAGGGAGATGTTGTGGAGATCCATTATTCATTATCATCAGTTATTATATTCAAAGGTGGTTGAGATTTAGAGGAGATTTGAATGGTTATGTTTAAAGAAAAGGTTCTTGTTTATGGCTTATGATATATATATATATATATATAACAACATTGGAAGTTGTAGCCTTGGGAAGGGAGAGCTTTGCCTAGATTGAACCACTGATATATTTAATTAAACATGAATGGTTGGAAGATTTTTTTTAATATGCTTTATTTGTTAAATATATTTTTATGAAGTTCTCTGGCAACTACATATTTTTTCTCACAACAAATTATTTTAAATTTGTTTTTCAAGAATGCTGTTATGCTGAAAGTTTCCTTTGCTTCATAATACAGGTGCTAAAAAAGGTGTTTAACTTAATAATCTATAAATCTAATGCCTTCATAGATGATAATTCCATCATGATTCTCTACATATTGCACCAATAGCCATTTGAATTGTACTTGAGTGCTCAGCATTATATGTATAATCAACATAAAATAAAAATCAGATGAAGGGCAAAACCTAAAGGAAAAAGAAGAAAAAAGCAAGAAAACAAGAAAAAAATTTGGAAGAAACTTTTCAAGGAACTAATTTTAAGTGTTCATAGATAGAGATGCACATGCACACGGAATAATGAGCTGCTAATATGATGAATGAGCAAAACAAAAAAATATATGAATGAGAGACTAAAAAATGAGGCGAAGATCCCTCTCCAAACCATGTCCACACTCCACAGGGTGAGTAAGTGGGCATAAACTTTCTAGGAAGTAATTAAGCAGTTAAATACAAATGGAAATGCTAGGGGAAATCCAACATGATGCACGGGCAGAACCAAGGATAAATTACTGATACAAATATGGGATGAAAAGTTAGTTCGGAATATTGATAAAATAACTCACAAATTTTGCAAAGTTAATAGCTTTAAGCATGTTAGGCTAAACATTTATTTAAAAGAATTAAATTCAACAATAAAAATGGCAAAAATGGATATCTAGGAAAAGGCCCATCACAATTATATGTTCTTAAAAAGAGTATTATCTGTTCAAACAATTACAGGCTACGACAAAGGAACAATTTCAAGAAATTAAAGCTCCAAATTTGAGAAGGCACGAGTAATTTAAATGGAATGACTAAATTGAAACTAGACTTAAAATTTATGGTTAACATTATTCAAGTTGAAACAACAATGACCAAAGTGAATTGGAGCTACTTAGTATCGTGGGGGTCTACTGAGGCAATGGGCTTCATGTGCACTTGCCTTGACTTGGGGCAACTCATCCTTGCTGGGGAGGGATTTGAAGCCTACAATTTGGGTGAATGTGGTACCTTTCTTATGGAGAGAATATAATGGCAACATTGTGGCGGGCCTCAACAATCGTACCCACCTATGTAGCTCAATTGATCTCACAATTCACTCTAAGCCTATGCTGTGAACACTAGTGTCTCAAAGTGTTTATCGATGAACTCAAACAGACTAAACAACCACATATTTTTAAAAAATGTAATCAACGCCAGGCATTGGGAATAATTACACTTCTTAAAAATATCAAAAGGTTGTTGTATTGAACCAAAGGGATATTCTCCATGACATAGCCTCATCAATTTTCTACTTCTCTCCACTTCCACCAATCAAAAGCTAAGCCACCTTCTAGATCCCTTCACCTATTTTTCAGGACATTTCTTCTAATCAATTACAATTTCATCCTATATTAGTCCATGAAGAACTTTACATAAAATAAGACTCACAAACAACACTGGGTGAAGTTTCCTTGAGTTTGAATTTTCAATACCTGCAACCCTTTTTAATTAACTACATAAAAGTTTAGAGGAATGCTTAACAAGTTTGAGAAACAATATTAAAATAGCATCGTGAATTTGCTAAAATTTGCATTTTGAAGGGTTCCAATGCTTTATTAAGTTTGAGCAGGTAATTTTATCATATGTTCTGAATAACACTGCCTACAATTGCTTCTTTGGTGGGCTAAAGCCAGTTGTAGCTTATGGTTCTTGGTGTTTAAGACTTTTTAAAGCTTAGGGTTATTGTAAATTTATTTATTTATTTATTTTTATTTTTTTTTGCAGATACAACCCTTTTGAGTACGAGATGATATTTTTGCATGTTGATATTGTAACTTACAATCTTTTTTGTATTTATTTATTTTTTGAAATAAATATCAAATTTTTACATTTTCTGTAAGCTTAAAATTAATTATATTGTAAATTTATTTATTTATTTATTTTTATTTTTTTTTGCAGATACAACCCTTTTGAGTACGAGATGATATTTTTGCATGTTGATATTGTAACTTACAATCTTTTTTGTATTTATTTATTTTTTGAAATAAATATCAAATTTTTACATTTTCTGTAAGCTTAAAATTAATTATATTGTAAATTTATTTATTTATTTATTTTTATTTTTTTTTGCAGATACAACCCTTTTGAGTACGAGATGATATTTTTGCATGTTGATATTGTAACTTACAATCTTTTTTGTATTTATTTATTTTTTGAAATAAATATCAAATTTTTACATTTTCTGTAAGCTTAAAATTAATTATATTGTAAATTTATTTATTTATTTATTTTTATTTTTTTTTGCAGATACAACCCTTTTGAGTACGAGATGATATTTTTGCATGTTGATATTGTAACTTACAATCTTTTTTGTATTTATTTATTTTTTGAAATAAATATCAAATTTTTACATTTTCTGTAAGCTTAAAATTAATTATATTGTAAATTTATTTATTTATTTATTTTTATTTTTTTTTGCAGATACAACCCTTTTGAGTACGAGATGATATTTTTGCATGTTGATATTGTAACTTACAATCTTTTTTGTATTTATTTATTTTTTGAAATAAATATCAAATTTTTACATTTTCTGTAAGCTTAAAATTAATTATATTGTAAATTTATTTATTTATTTATTTTTATTTTTTTTTGCAGATACAACCCTTTTGAGTACGAGATGATATTTTTGCATGTTGATATTGTAACTTACAATCTTTTTTGTATTTATTTATTTTTTGAAATAAATATCAAATTTTTACATTTTCTGTAAGCTTAAAATTAATTATATTGTAAATTTATTTATTTATTTATTTTTATTTTTTTTTGCAGATACAACCCTTTTGAGTACGAGATGATATTTTTGCATGTTGATATTGTAACTTACAATCTTTTTTGTATTTATTTATTTTTTGAAATAAATATCAAATTTTTACATTTTCTGTAAGCTTAAAATTAATTATATTGTAAATTTATTTATTTATTTATTTTTATTTTTTTTTGCAGATACAACCCTTTTGAGTACGAGATGATATTTTTGCATGTTGATATTGTAACTTACAATCTTTTTTGTATTTATTTATTTTTTGAAATAAATATCAAATTTTTACATTTTCTGTAAGCTTAAAATTAATTATATTGTAAATTTATTTATTTATTTATTTTTATTTTTTTTTGCAGATACAACCCTTTTGAGTACGAGATGATATTTTTGCATGTTGATATTGTAACTTACAATCTTTTTTGTATTTATTTATTTTTTGAAATAAATATCAAATTTTTACATTTTCTGTAAGCTTAAAATTAATTATATTGTAAATTTATTTATTTATTTATTTTTATTTTTTTTTGCAGATACAACCCTTTTGAGTACGAGATGATATTTTTGCATGTTGATATTGTAACTTACAATCTTTTTTGTATTTATTTATTTTTTGAAATAAATATCAAATTTTTACATTTTCTGTAAGCTTAAAATTAATTATATTGTAAATTTATTTATTTATTTATTTTTATTTTTTTTTGCAGATACAACCCTTTTGAGTACGAGATGATATTTTTGCATGTTGATATTGTAACTTACAATCTTTTTTGTATTTATTTATTTTTTGAAATAAATATCAAATTTTTACATTTTCTGTAAGCTTAAAATTAATTATATTGTAAATTTATTTATTTATTTATTTTTATTTTTTTTTGCAGATACAACCCTTTTGAGTACGAGATGATATTTTTGCATGTTGATATTGTAACTTACAATCTTTTTTGTATTTATTTATTTTTTGAAATAAATATCAAATTTTTACATTTTCTGTAAGCTTAAAATTAATTATATTGTAAATTTATTTATTTATTTATTTTTATTTTTTTTTGCAGATACAACCCTTTTGAGTACGAGATGATATTTTTGCATGTTGATATTGTAACTTACAATCTTTTTTGTATTTATTTATTTTTTGAAATAAATATCAAATTTTTACATTTTCTGTAAGCTTAAAATTAATTATATTGTAAATTTATTTATTTATTTATTTTTATTTTTTTTTGCAGATACAACCCTTTTGAGTACGAGATGATATTTTTGCATGTTGATATTGTAACTTACAATCTTTTTTGTATTTATTTATTTTTTGAAATAAATATCAAATTTTTACATTTTCTGTAAGCTTAAAATTAATTATATTGTAAATTTATTTATTTATTTATTTTTATTTTTTTTTGCAGATACAACCCTTTTGAGTACGAGATGATATTTTTGCATGTTGATATTGTAACTTACAATCTTTTTTGTATTTATTTATTTTTTGAAATAAATATCAAATTTTTACATTTTCTGTAAGCTTAAAATTAATTATATTGTAAATTTATTTATTTATTTATTTTTATTTTTTTTTGCAGATACAACCCTTTTGAGTACGAGATGATATTTTTGCATGTTGATATTGTAACTTACAATCTTTTTTGTATTTATTTATTTTTTGAAATAAATATCAAATTTTTACATTTTCTGTAAGCTTAAAATTAATTATATTGTAAATTTATTTATTTATTTATTTTTATTTTTTTTTGCAGATACAACCCTTTTGAGTACGAGATGATATTTTTGCATGTTGATATTGTAACTTACAATCTTTTTTGTATTTATTTATTTTTTGAAATAAATATCAAATTTTTACATTTTCTGTAAGCTTAAAATTAATTATATTGTAAATTTATTTATTTATTTATTTTTATTTTTTTTTGCAGATACAACCCTTTTGAGTACGAGATGATATTTTTGCATGTTGATATTGTAACTTACAATCTTTTTTGTATTTATTTATTTTTTGAAATAAATATCAAATTTTTACATTTTCTGTAAGCTTAAAATTAATTATATTGTAAATTTATTTATTTATTTATTTTTATTTTTTTTTGCAGATACAACCCTTTTGAGTACGAGATGATATTTTTGCATGTTGATATTGTAACTTACAATCTTTTTTGTATTTATTTATTTTTTGAAATAAATATCAAATTTTTACATTTTCTGTAAGCTTAAAATTAATTATATTGTAAATTTATTTATTTATTTATTTTTATTTTTTTTTGCAGATACAACCCTTTTGAGTACGAGATGATATTTTTGCATGTTGATATTGTAACTTACAATCTTTTTTGTATTTATTTATTTTTTGAAATAAATATCAAATTTTTACATTTTCTGTAAGCTTAAAATTAATTATATTGTAAATTTATTTATTTATTTATTTTTATTTTTTTTTGCAGATACAACCCTTTTGAGTACGAGATGATATTTTTGCATGTTGATATTGTAACTTACAATCTTTTTTGTATTTATTTATTTTTTGAAATAAATATCAAATTTTTACATTTTCTGTAAGCTTAAAATTAATTATATTGTAAATTTATTTATTTATTTATTTTTATTTTTTTTTGCAGATACAACCCTTTTGAGTACGAGATGATATTTTTGCATGTTGATATTGTAACTTACAATCTTTTTTGTATTTATTTATTTTTTGAAATAAATATCAAATTTTTACATTTTCTGTAAGCTTAAAATTAATTATATTGTAAATTTATTTATTTATTTATTTTTATTTTTTTTTGCAGATACAACCCTTTTGAGTACGAGATGATATTTTTGCATGTTGATATTGTAACTTACAATCTTTTTTGTATTTATTTATTTTTTGAAATAAATATCAAATTTTTACATTTTCTGTAAGCTTAAAATTAATTATATTGTAAATTTATTTATTTATTTATTTTTATTTTTTTTTGCAGATACAACCCTTTTGAGTACGAGATGATATTTTTGCATGTTGATATTGTAACTTACAATCTTTTTTGTATTTATTTATTTTTTGAAATAAATATCAAATTTTTACATTTTCTGTAAGCTTAAAATTAATTATATTGTAAATTTATTTATTTATTTATTTTTATTTTTTTTTGCAGATACAACCCTTTTGAGTACGAGATGATATTTTTGCATGTTGATATTGTAACTTACAATCTTTTTTGTATTTATTTATTTTTTGAAATAAATATCAAATTTTTACATTTTCTGTAAGCTTAAAATTAATTATATTGTAAATTTATTTATTTATTTATTTTTATTTTTTTTTGCAGATACAACCCTTTTGAGTACGAGATGATATTTTTGCATGTTGATATTGTAACTTACAATCTTTTTTGTATTTATTTATTTTTTGAAATAAATATCAAATTTTTACATTTTCTGTAAGCTTAAAATTAATTATATTGTAAATTTATTTATTTATTTATTTTTATTTTTTTTTGCAGATACAACCCTTTTGAGTACGAGATGATATTTTTGCATGTTGATATTGTAACTTACAATCTTTTTTGTATTTATTTATTTTTTGAAATAAATATCAAATTTTTACATTTTCTGTAAGCTTAAAATTAATTATATTGTAAATTTATTTATTTATTTATTTTTATTTTTTTTTGCAGATACAACCCTTTTGAGTACGAGATGATATTTTTGCATGTTGATATTGTAACTTACAATCTTTTTTGTATTTATTTATTTTTTGAAATAAATATCAAATTTTTACATTTTCTGTAAGCTTAAAATTAATTATATTGTAAATTTATTTATTTATTTATTTTTATTTTTTTTTGCAGATACAACCCTTTTGAGTACGAGATGATATTTTTGCATGTTGATATTGTAACTTACAATCTTTTTTGTATTTATTT